GTGCTCTGCCTCCCCGGGCTTGCTTCTCCTTCTTTCGTTGTTTTTCCTTTCAAATGTTAAGTTTTTTGGTGTGTGCCTCCCCTCCTTGCCTCTCCCTGTTCCCATAACCCCTCATCCATCCCCATCCCCTCTCCCATCCCCAAAATCTCAGCAGCGAAGCTCCGGCTCCTGACTCAGATGAAGGGTCATTGGTAAGTTTTGCTCCCCAGCTCAGCAGGCGGGCAGGGGAAGCCTCCTGGCCATGGCAAACGCTGCTCCAGGGTGCTGCAAAGGTGTTGGGTGCTCTAGGGAGATGGTGGGGTGGGCTGCCAGCACATGTTGGTGTTAGCTCTGTTTCTTGGAGCTTGTTCAGGTCTGGCTGCAATGGTGCCAGCAGCATTGATCCATGCACTACTTATAGAGACTAATGTAAAGACTTTCTATAAATACAGTTGGGCTGAAAAGGGCTTTTCTGGAGCCACCGGGGCAACGTGGGCACTGTCTGTATGGGATCTCCCTTCAGTGCCACCTCGGGCAGCCCTGCACCTTTGCAAAGCAGCACTTTGGTGTTGGGCCAGGGGCTTTATGGGTGTGTGTGTCCCCACCGTGGGGCCAAAGCATCCTCCAGTGCTGGCCTGGGTGACCGGAGCACCTGAGATGCGCCTCGCCATGGGCAGGCAGCGTTTCCCAGCCTGGCCATTGCTCTCTCCCTGTTGGGAAGGGATTTAGGCAGGGAGGGAGAGGGATCCTACATCCCCCTGTGGCTACCCTGCCTGCTGCCACCAGCCCCCTGCCCCCCGGGTTATAAGCGGGCTGAGCCGGAGCTGAACGTTTCCAACATGAAGCTGAGTGAAAATAGCCCATAATGGGTGCGTTGTAAATATGTTATTGAGCCAGTATTTTTTTTACTGTGCCTTTTTTAAAGCGGAAAAAAATACAAAAAAACCAACACATTGAGAAATATGTAGATTTTAAAATGCTTTTTATACATTTTCTGTGGATCGGAAAAAGAAAATTCCCCACCCTTTGATAATCTGTTTGAGAAAGAAAAAGAAATAATTGCAATGTCTTTGTAACTTTCACTTACCTTAATTTATATGTTCCAGTATCTGGAACATCACTCTGTGCTTTTTGTAACTAGGATGTGTTGAAAGCAAGAGATGTGGGATGGGGAACCAGCATGGACAGTGTGTTCTCAGGGACTTGAACCCGATCGCTGCCACGGGGTTCCCGTGGGAGCGGTCACCAATAAAGCGGCTTTTTTGCTGACCACAGTCACCTGGTCCTGGGCTCTGGTGTCTCTTTATGGATGAGCTGTGCTGAACATCCCTTGTTCCCCCCGCGGATGTTGTCACCTCTAATGATGCTCTCGGGGGTGCACCGAGGAGGGGTTGCGCCCGCATCCCTCTCTTTTTCCCACGGGTACTGGCATCCACCGGCCATTTGCATCCCAGGGTGTGAGGGTCCTCTCCTCATTCCCCTCCCCAAAAGGCTCAGGCAGGCCTCAGGGATGGCTTTTCCCAGGCTCTGGGGTGGGAGCGGAGGTGACAGGGGCGAGGTGAGAGCCGGTTGTTAGCAGGGTGCTGTTAACAGCC